CTGTGAGGAGATATATACAAAACTGTATATAAAGATGCTCCCACTGTTCAGAAATGAAGCTCAAATATCCCATCTTGCACATTTGGAGCCAAAGTCTCCAGTAGTGAACAGGGATGGATTCATGGTAGCAGCTCATACACTCTCAACCAATGACGGGTCGGCCTGTCGTTTCCCCCTGTTGTTATAGCATCAAATAACTTCAATGGGAAAATTGACACTTGAACATCAGTTAGATTAAAACAAAAGTAACAGAAACCATTTATGAGAGAAATTATTTGATGTGTACTTTGACTGTTTGGCTTGATCCACGTCCCATCCATTAATACGGAGGCAGTGGGATTTACGACCTGTACCGCAGCCAGCCACCAGGTATAACCACTTATTTATCTACCTCAGATTTGTCATTCTCTGCTCGAAAAGAAGAATTTAAAACAACAACCATCACACTGGAGCCAAAATCAGTCTTAAAAAAATAATGTGATGATTATCAAAAAATATATATATAGAGAGAGATTATTATTTTACATTTTTGGCCACATAGCCCAGCCCTAATGTGAGTATATACTGTACTAAAGTATATACAGAGACAATATTGTAACCTGTTTTAGGGTCATTGGGTGAACTGTTAAGGTTTTAGGTGATTTCTAATGCTCTTTACTTATATAATACATATGTACATTCTTGCCTTAATAAAAGTATTTAAACAAATCCAGTATCTTGTTTCTTCTGAGTGATTTTTAATCATCCTCTGAAGAACTAACCACAATTATCATGGCATTAACATATTAATGGTTACACACTGGGCAACATCTGCAGGGTCCTTTTTAACAAAATAATAATCTAAAGCCTCCTTCAACTTTCTTTCATCTTTCATTTCTCCCTCCATGATTGTGATGAAGGGATCTGAGTCCATTGGCTGGCGACTTGCCACGCAGGAGAGCACCACCAGTTTCTGTTTCACCAAAGAGACAGAGTTCAGTCCATCAGTCCTGCCCAGAAAAACCGAGTGCAAGAGTGAGTAGCTGCAGGAGATCGAATTATTCCACCTCGAAATATTCCATTGTAATATTTCAAAGTATAATGTACTCATTCAAATTATAATATTTGCTATTATCCCACTTATTTCCATAGGCACCAAGTTTATCAGTAAGTCTGAAGACAACCTGCTGACCCCCCAATGCAACTCCCTTCAGACCTCATGGAGTGTGGAGACTCCAGTAGGAGCGCAGGCTTTCAGTGGAGGGTCTTTCACAGATACACCCATGAAGATATGCCTAAAGAACACCTACGTGTCTGAGCCGGCCATTGTCGTGTCCAAGCCCCCGGTCGTGAGCAGCCTTCCCATGAAGCTGTGTTGTGCCTCCAGCGCCGGCAGCCTTGAGAGCGAGAGCTCCATCACGGAAGCCCAGAGCCAAACTGGCCCCACCCTGCTGAAAATCAAGAAGGCCTTCAGAGAGTCGGGCAATGACCTCCAGGCTGTCGCACGGGACTCCTGCAGCTCTGCCGGAGCAAATGTAACACAGCCATCAGGCAGCGTCCCTGTCCGTCCACCAGAGACTAAAGTTCTGTCTGTGGACACCTCCAGCTTCCCATCCAAGCAGAAGTTCCTGGCTAATGATCAGAACATTACTTTTGGCCAGATGGAAATAGCTGCTCTCTCTCCTCTGCATATTGATAGTGTGATATTTGAATCTGGTGTATACTGTAGTCCAGCACTGAAGGCTGATAAAGCTGGAACTCGTGCCGCTCCTGTCAGTCCTAATGGTTCCATGGTGGGAGACAGTGAAAGTGAGGCAGAGCAGGTGAACTGCAGCAGATTGATCGACGCACTGGACATCCAGAGCCCCGCTCACTTCAAGCTGGGTGTCACCTCCGGCCTGCAATCCACTCCATATAAGCAGGGACTTGAACTCCACCTCAGTACTCCTCCTAGAGTCAGTACCACAGTCAGCACGGTACAAGAAAAAGATGAGTTTTCCCCAGAGATCGGTACCAAAGTCCAGAACCAGCCACCGCTCTCACCACGCAGCCTGGAGACCGAGAAGCGGCACGTGGCCGAGCACATTCAGCACTTCAACAAGCTCACCCTTCATTCTCCCAGAGGCCCCAAGGGCAAGCAAATCAGGTCGCCTCTCAAGTTTCAGCGAACCCCTGTACGCCAGACAGTCCGCAGGATCAACTCCCTCCTGGGGGATAGCAGGAGACCCACCAGGAGGAGCCAGAGCGGCCAAGTGGTCAAGGCGGTGAGCTTGGAGAGCGGCCTCTCTCCTCACCCACAGCTTGTCCCTCACCAGGATGAGCCACCAGAGGGACAGGCCACCAGCAGGTGTCCCATAAAGAAACCACCTCCAGTGCCACCCAAAAAGCCAAGCACCCTGGCCCGTAAACCCAAACTGTGCGCTTTAGGCGATGTGACCAACAAGGTCCAACCAAAGACCAAAGTGGACTCTTCTGTGGCGGAGTCGCCGGGAGCTCAGAAGCCTCTGGTGCTGCAGGTCGCAGAGAAAGAAATGAACCATTACCGAGGTTCACCGAGGAATCCTCTGAACCAGGCACGACTGCTGTCTGCCACCAGGCCTGTAGATTTATAGCTCATCCTTTACCTTACTGTTTCCTCTTACTATGCAGGTCTCTGGTAAAACTACATGACATTAAACATTCCTGCTCATAAGATCCACATGTTCAGGGTTTTAATTTATTTTCTAGCTACGGTAGGTGCAGTTTGTGTTGTTATTGGGAGATGTTCTTATGCCTTATTTGTTTAGAAACTAAACATCGACACATATCAGCCCACAAGATTGCATGTTAAGTAGCGCTGAGTAGAGTTTAGGCCAAATGATGTGACATGATGTGATTGAGGGTGTGACTGGAAAAGTTTGGATCAAGTCTTAAACTTTTATTTATGCATTTTGTATCTAATCCTTTAGGTAGATGTTTTCTGAGGGTGACGCTGTTTTTATTTTTTATTACAGAACATTGTCTTAATATTTTTCTCATGAACAGAGAAGGAAAAAAATGCACCTTTTTGTTAAATTTGTTTAAAAGAAAGAAAAAAAAAAGCCAGGCAGTATTGATCAAATCATCAGTCGATTGCAGTCCATCGATTTCAGAACCATCGGACAGTGAAATGTTTTACCACGTGAACTGTTTCAGAACAATAAAAACAAACATCATGGAACTTTGTTTGCTTCAGTTATTCTGGTTTGTGGAGATTAGAGCGCGTTTGAGCCACAAGAGGGCGTCCTACCATTAGACTGGATCAGACTGAAACGTTCAGTGAAACACTTGTTCATGCTTCAGCACAGGTCCTGGGACGCTTTATATTTTTAAAAGCTGACTTTAATCAGATACAATCTACTTCTCTGCTTGTTGGTTGTCACATTTTGGTGCGTTTGAAAACTTAATTTACATCTGCAGATTTTTTCATTAAACAAACATGTATTTTTCTCTGTACTTCTCTTTCAGTGACATTTAAACTCCTGGTTATTCGTAGAAAGGCTCAGTTAAGTGTGTCAGCCATCTTTAAACTTATATTGACATTAAAGAAGTTTTAAGATTTTATTTTCCATCGAGACTGAGATGGATCACCCCTGAATACTTTATATGTGTAGGATTAAATTGGACCAGGGGGACATTTCACTAAAGGACATTAATATCACAGCAGCCAGTATGTGTATATATGTAAATATATATAATTCATCGTGGTAATTGTTATTGTAAGACTAGGTTAAATCCAGATATATGCACCATTGGGATCAATAATTAATTCCTGAACGAACAGCAGTCTGGGTAATTGAGTTTAATTTCCCAGAAAATCATAAACAAATGTTTTTGGAAATATGTGTTTCAACACTCTGTCTCACATGGCAACAATATAACGGGATTATAAAATGTGAAAGATGTTTTATGGTTAATAAGTTATTTAATAATGTTTTCTAAATCTGTTACAAGACATGAAGCCATTGTGAAATGTTTGTTTGTGAAAACCCCCAAGGTGCTGTTCGCCCCCCTCAGCAGGACACGAAAGTGATAATTAAGTTAAGTGATAAGTTCAGTGTTGTTGATAATCATTATTTAGTTTGTCAAGTTCCGCTTTAACAGAATATGTGGAAGGAATTTCGTTTTTTGGAAAGATGAATTCAAACTGTAGACTTGTGGTTTATACAAAAAAAATGCTAAATGATAATTAAGAGATTTGTAACAGAAACTGAATAATTATCCTCCAGAGGGAAATTTTAAGAACGTGGAAAATGACTCTGTTAATGCTGATTCATTAATCACTTCATGATAACCAACTAAAACATCTGACAGTTGGATGGCTCCTGCTGCACTCCTGCTCCATCTCATCATATTGTTATCGTCCACTTTTCTTCATCGTGCAAACAAAAGTCCAGATTTCTCGTCAGGCTCGTGGTGCGTAAAAGCCTCAATGGCTGAATCAGACGATAAGAAAAGAGATGCAGCGTTTCAGAGAAATGACTCGTTTCTGAGGAAAGCTTTGTGACGATGGCTCACTTATATCTCAGCTGACTATGACTTCACTGTGACAGTGAGTCCAGGGGATGCAGGGGAGTCGCAGGTGAGCTGGTGGTTTTTAGTTCACTCCTAGATTACATGTCTGGCCATGTTTTCTTCTCGAGGATTGTGAACTCCCCAGTGCGGTTTTGAATTAGTTTGATATGTGACATTAAACTGCCTTGATGCTTATTGTGGTTTAAAAAGAAAAATCTTTTTTTAAAACTTTTTCCATGTGCGCGTAAACTTCAGGCCTGTCCCCCCTCCTCCTCCTCCTTCTCCTCCTCCTCCTCCTCCTCCTGCTCCTCTCTTGGTCTGTTTTCGTGAAGTGGGTTCAGGGAAGTGTTGTGGGGGCGGATAGTTTTGATTTTCTCTCCATTGCGCTCAGCCAATAATGTGGAGGGAGCTGTTGTGCACATCTCAGCTGGCAGACATTTAAAAGGGAGACAGTCCGGCGCTGGAGCAATTTGTATTAACCCCCCCACCCCACTTCACCACCACCTCCTGGCCCCTGTCTATGGAGCGGTTGGTCTCCCACCCATCCACAGTCCCGCCAGTGTACAGTCGACAGCAGTAGGTGCCTCTCACCTCGGAAGGTGCCTCAGAGGACTGACAGGATCTCAGCAGTGCGCTTGTTGCAGCGGAGGCTCCAGCAGGTGAGAGAGTCTGATCCACTTCTGATGCAACAATAACACCATCACTTACTCGATAAACTTTATTTCACTTATTGATTATGTGAATTATACAACGACATGCCGCTCATCCACTGCTGAGCATGTGTGGACGCGTAGGGCTAAAGAAGGGAACATTTGCGTAATGGATAAATTATAGGTTATATTGTAATTATATGTTCACATTTCTCACTCAGATATTTAGACTCGGTTACGTTCAATTTCGTTTTTTCAATTCAGCTTCGGTTTGCATGTGTTGAAACCACATGCAAAGGAAAGAAAGAAAGGAAAAATGGAAAGCGAGCTCGATCTGTGCGTTTTTACGCAGCGTAAAAGCTTTGACAGCTGTGCGTAACGCGCCCAGAATTGAAACGGTGTTGGTGATGAATTATTTTCTCCTTCTCCCCAAGGATGGCCAACTCGACGCGTATCTTTTGCAGTATGGTTTTCATCATCGGGCTGCTCTCCTCTCCCGTGGATTCAAAAAGAAATCGGGGTTCACAAGGCGCCATTCCTCATCCTGACAAAAGCAACCCAAACGAATCGGAGCAGCAACCGCAGCCTCCGCAGGCGGGCTCCGGGTCCCGGCAGAGGCAGGGCTCGTCCTCGCCGGCCGACGAGGTGCTGGAGTCCAGCCAGGAAGCTCTGCATGTGACGGAGCGCCAGTATTTGAAACGGGACTGGTGCAAGACGCAGCCGCTCAAACAGACCATCCACGAGGAGGGCTGCGTCAGCCGCACCATCATCAACCGCTTCTGCTACGGACAGTGCAACTCCTTCTACATCCCCAGGCACATCCGCAGGGAGGAGGGAGCCTTCCAGTCCTGCTCTTTCTGCAAACCCAAGCGTTTTACCACCATGACGTTTACTTTGAACTGTCCGGACCAGCAGCCACCCACCAAGAAGAAACGCATCCAGCGCGTCAAACAGTGCCGCTGCATATCCATAGACCTGGACTAAAACACACACTGAGAGGTGTTGTGTGTGTTAGTGTGTGTGTGTTTCATATTCTTATTCGCGGACAAGATTGTTGGTATAGAAAAAGAGAGGCTGTCACACAGCCAAGAGCACGTGTCGGTCTCCACCTGGGGATTCGCTCCACATATAAAGGCTGCCTACATGTACCACGAGTCTCTTCTTGCACAACGTGTGAACAAACATGGAGCAACTCGTGAACCGACGTTGAACTGAAAAGAACATTTTTTACTCCTCACAAGTTTGAAAACAAGTATCACTGCACGGGAACTTGGAATGGGCACGTTTTTACGCACGGCTTCCTCACCTCAGTAGGACAGCACATCCCCGGCTTATTTAACAAATCACTGTTCCACACACTCACTGAACCAGGATACACACTCTCCTGCTCAATCCTCTATTCTCCTGTGTTTTTATATGTTTGCAAAACTGGATGTTTCCACTGTGTGGAATGTGATGGATGAGTGGCCAGATTTGCAAATGGAAGATGTGACTTTATTTCGATATTCCAAGAATCCTTGAGTTGGAATGATTTCTGTCCTTTAGTAAATTGTTTTTTATTTTATAATTATTTTCTCTTTCTGTAAGTTGGGTGCCCACATAAACGTAGTAACAATATGCTTCTTTGTCAGTTAAAACAGACAATGTACAGTGATGGTTTGTAAAATATAGAGATAAAATAGTTGAAAATGAAAAGTCCATGTAATCGGTTTGTTTATTCATTTGATTAAATTATCAATGAAAAGATAAAATAAATGGATGTTGGAATATTGTGCATATCATTGGGAACTTTAAAGCTATTTGTGAAGGAAGATGTATCAAATAAAATGTGACACATTCACACAAGGTGTAATGCATATCTCCCTAAATGGGGTTCAGGTTTTAATTTAGGTTTTATGAGAAAACAACAGAAAACACCATAGAAATCACAACTTAATTGAGTTATATTTGGATAAAGGTTGGAAAGGTGACCAAAATCTGACCAAACCAGTGTTTCACAAAGGAGCATTAAAGCATTTTCTCCTTAGAGTTTTTTAAAATAAACAAATACATTATTTTTCAACCATCCATCCTAAATATCACCCTTATAATATATGAGCCAAAACTTGTATGTTTATTATAGTGTTTGAATAATTGGAACGAACTGAATGACTGTTATTTTAATTTAATAGCAAATAGGCCAAATCATTGTAATAATTTCCATCCGATTAAACTTCATATTTCCGATGGCGCAAGAAACTCTTCATGTTAATAAATCTAATCACTGTTTCTCAGAAAAGTTTGACAGGAATAAGTTTAAAACATCTAAGAAAGTGGTTTGAGTGACGTTAGTCTGAGTCAGTGTTCATTGAACGGCCCACGCTGAATCGTGAATCATTAAATTCTTTTTGTAGAGTCACATAAATATCACATTTTCTAACGGGAGCGGAGACAGCGGAGCGTTTAGAGAACCTGATTTAACACATACAGAATTTCAAAGTGCAAGTCGTCATCCAAAATGAGTCAATGTTCATTCGGCATCCAGTAGTTTATTCTTGAAATTTAAAACAATTCCATAAAATTACAGAGCACCTACATGAGAGCTGCTGAAGGTCGCAGCGACTGACGTACACACGGTAGAGGCGACAACAATTCCTTGGTCTGTTCTCAGCTCGTTTTTTCTTTTTTTCAAACTCCTCTAAAGTAAAACAGCAGTTATGAAACATCTCCATCTTCATACAAAATAAATGGCACACATGAAAGACTTTGGAGGATAAAAATAAATGTTATTCAAGGTGCAGTTTTATTGATATCTGGATAAAGGAATCTGTCTGAGGTATAACAACTAGCATGGCTTCAGGTGATATGCTTAAATGTTCTAAATACCAAAACCCTCATCTTTCCCAAAAATTAAACTGGAACTGTTTTCATTCTGTGTAACTCACTTAATATCCACACATCATCCAGACACACCGTGAGCCGAAATACAGACCCACGTTATCCAGGAGCCTCTCAATCGATTCAACGAACTCATAAAAACACAACCTCACAAAGGTCGCTGTTTTTGGCATAAAATAAATCTCTCCTTACATAAATATACTTTTCTTAAATGACAGAAGCAAAAATTTTGCTTGATTCACTTTCTTAAAAATGAAAACATAAAGAGGGATTTCATCATCGAGCAATGAGATTGATGAAGCTTTCAACGAGGGAACCCAACGCTTGCATAGGGAAAGAGGTGCAAAAAAAGTGCAGGGCATCTGAAAACAAAAATGCATGCAGTTAGCATAACATGTGGAGTGTGAGCTACATCTTAGAGTTACTTGCAAGCGGGCAAAGTGCATAAACCTGTGCTGGGCACAATGTGACGTACAGCTCTCCATGAGGGATCTAAAAAGTTTAGCTTTAAATACAATTGAGTTATTGGGTGACTGGGTGCACGGCCAAGTGTGTTTGAGTGTGTTTGTGTGTGTTTGTGTGTGTTTGTGTGTGTTTGTGTGTGTTTGAAGGGTTCGACTCATCGCTCGCTTGTTCCGCTCTTCAACTGTTGTCACACAAGAGGGGGGGTGTCTGGTGCCGTGAAAACACACAACATAGTAAAACTGATTGTACACACACACACACACACGTTCATACACACCGTATCTTCGTCTGCTCACGAGGCCCAGCGCACATCATTTATCATCCTCCTCAAAGCTGCACCGTCCCTGCCGATTCTATAACATGACATATTTACAATGGTTTTAATGAGCCATGGTGAATGAGCAGCTATTCGCCAGAGCAGAGGAGCCGCGGCTTTCTCGCTGCTCGGGGAGAAAGAGATCTGTTGTGTCAACAGGGATTTTCCCTCCGAGCAGAAATCAGCAGCTACACTTTGAGTAAGTTGGAGCGTTTTCAACACATGTCCTCTCTCAGGTAACGGTCGACGGCTCTGAGAAGAACGGATCCTCAGCTCTTGCAGACGCAGAAGGAATCTTGTGTCAGCTGGCACTGTTGTGAATCCCGCTGACCCGCTGAGACCTTTCACAAGCCGGGCTCTCAGAGGGCACGCCACGCTGGATGAATGAGGTCAACCTTTAGCCTTTAAGACTCTCATCACTTCGGCTGTGTCAGCCGTGCATCCTCGGTGCAGGAGTTTTTCTTTCGGCATGTGGGTGGGTGGGGACGGCTGAGGGTGTTAATAGTGCGGAGATATGGCCGTGGGAGTAGAAGTGGGAGTCCAGTGAGGTTTTATTGTGAGTTCGGGGCACAGAGGGCAGTCCAGTGTTGTTGAGGCAGGTGGCTGAACGAGGAGGGATGAGGCCTGCACGCTTTTTGTCCATCTCCACCAGCCACCATTTCGTTTCTCCTTCTTTTTCATCACTCGTCGATTCAGCTGGAGGGCACGCTGGCTTCCTTCTGCCGCAGCCTATCTTTCTGTTGGCGAGAGCAACACAAAAATTCAGGGTATTGATTTCACCAGCAGGAGCAGCGTTCAGGAATTTCTCTGCTGCATGTGAGCGAGCTCTTACCAGACTGTTGGCATTAATCTTCTTGGTTTCCACTCTCTTCTCTGCTGTGATCTTCTTGATGTTTTCTTGAGCTTCCTTCAACCTATGGAGGAAAAAAAAAAAACATCCTCAAGGACGTGATATTTGCAGGCCCTTGAAAACCTGAAGTGCAAACTGAAAATCGTACTTGTGAAAACAATATAAAGTCAGTAGCCTCTCATCCCTGTGTCCTTGTGAGGTTGTTTATAAGAGCAAGACATTTAAGTATCTCCCTGGGGCACCCTGTCATGGAGCCTTTTAGAGCCACACACACACACACACACA